CTTCCCAGTGAAGTTAAGCCTTGAAGTAGGACTTTGATTCCTTGGTTGGTGCTTACAGTCATATGGAATCTTCATCATGGATGTGATTTAGCCTAGTGTTGTCTTTACTCAAGTTGGTTTTGTCTGGTTATCCCCGGTGCAGTGTGTCTATTTTGTCAGCATATACATGATAACATTCATACATTCATACATACATCATGCACAGCTGAATTAAAATTCCTTGCTCATTTGAATTCATTGTTGTTTTTGTTGGCATATTATCCTCTTTGTAGAGATATGTTATCCTCTCTCCAATATAATGTCAACTTTAAGAAGAAAGTTTATATCCTTTCAATTTCCCCATCGATTTATCCCTCATGGAAGAATTTTGCTTTAGCCTTCCTACCCAGCTTATTATCTGGATGGAATTTGATGCCCATTTGAGTTTATTCCTCATTGGATGGTGTCTTGGTTGACTATTTAACTCCAGTTTACTCTTAGTTTGAATTTTTGGTATGAACATCAATACTATTTTGATCCCTATAGGTTGTGAGCCCTAGATTGATAATGTGCATTTATTTTTCACGTGGAGACTTTATCCCCTCAGCAGGATTATGTTGGTATTTCCCCACGAAATCAAAATTCATTTCCTAACAGTGTTATCATAATTCTTTTCATAACAACAAGTGGAGATATCTTTATTTGAGCAACTTGTATTTCCCTAGTAAGTCTGCTAATGCCAAAGAAGATGTTTTTACTCCGATGAATAGTAGTCTCTTCATTATGGGAGATAGTTCGTTCTTGAGGTTGGATTTACTCCAATGACAAAGACAGTTCGTTGAAAAATATTTCCATCATCTCATCACCCTTTCCATGTGATATATTGGTTAAAGAAAAAACTCTTACCGTTCTCGGTGAAATCCAGAAGTATGTAAAGTTTATTACCCTTTCCAAGTAAAATTCCTCGGTTAAAGAAGAAGTTCAGACCCGTTCTAGGTGGAATGCCATAATTTTGGGAAACTTGTTATTGTTCTATGTTTTTTCTACCTTCATCCTTGAGTTGGTAGTTCACCATCATTCATTAGTCGGTATTTATCTCTTTCTCCTATGGACTTTACCTCAATAGAGTTGAGTTTTTCCCAACCATGAGTGTTGATGTTAAACCTTTGTTACCATCCATAAGTGTTAATGTTAACCCTTTGTTCCCAGCCATAAGTGTTGATACAACCCTTTGATCTCGGTCATAAGTGTTGATGTCAACCCTTTGTTCCCAGCCATAAGTGCTAATGTCAATCCTTTGTTCCCAGCCATAAGTGATGATATCAACCCTTTGTTCCCAGTAATAAGTGATGATGTCAACCCTTTGTTCCCAGTAATAAGTGTTGATTTCAATCCTTTGTTCCCAGCCATAAGTGATGATGTTAAACCTTTGTTCTCATCCATAAGTGTTGATGTCAAACCTTTGTTCTCAGACATAAGTGTTGATATCAACCCTTTGTTCCTAGCCATAAGTGATGATGTAAACCTTTGTTCCCAGCTGTTATACCCCAATTTCCCCCCCTAAGATCCCTCCTTATATCATATACATGCATATCATCGATTCCATGGTTACGGGATCAAAAGCTTTGGCATTAGGGTTTTTTCTCTGTGGACTAGGGTTGTTACATTCTTCATGTTGATCCAGCTGGTTCTCTCATTATTCTTGGTATGAGATTATGGTTTTGGATCTCAATCAGCATAGACGTCTTCCCTAGCAGGGTTCCTCGAAATACAAATTTTTGTTTATCATAGTTTTCTTCAAGGAACATGCGCTTTAGGATTTAACTTGTGTACTTGAGATTTCTCATATATTATCTAAGATTTTCATTGAGCTAGGTTTTGTCCCTCTCAGCATCTCAAACCTTCTCCATCTGTATGCACTCAAGGTTCATTGGTTTAGGGTTTCTTCTATGATTGTGCCCAAGCATGGATGTTGTTTATTCAACAAATGATTCATCATGCTAGGTTTTGTCCTCAAGGCTACAAAGATGACAATGGCATGAGTTGGGATTTACCCCTTAGACAAAGTTATAATATGATCTTCAAACACTTGATTACTCACCACTGAAGGCTCCTTCTTCTCAATATTTTTAGTTTTCCCCATCACATGAGATGGCTATGGTTTCTTATAATACCAGTCATTCTAGTCATCTAAGATACCATGAATCCTGGCATGGAGATTCTACAAGCACCATCTTAATTTTCTCATCATCATCCTTTTATTATGGTTTATTTCCATGAATCACACACCATTCAAGAGGGGTTTCTTTGCGAATTTAGGATCATCAGGCAAGACTATCATCAGATGATATCATCCATGGATAACTAGGGTTTCATTTGATATAATTTTGTCAAACGATAAGGTATTCATTACTTAAATCACAAGAAATAAGGACATGGCTCTATGAAAGAGGAGAAGATAGTTTCATGTGGAGTCACCTTACAAGTTACTGGTGCGGATAATTGATGCAAAGCTATTCATCCGAACACATGGTTTACTTGTGACACAAGCCTTCTTTGTGATTTCATTCCAATTTAGTTGAGATTAAAACCTAAAGTATTGTGTGAAGAATTAGGGTTTACAGATCAATCTTGATAAGAATACAAAGATCATCCAAATACATGAATACACTTTAAGACATGACGAATCAATGTGGTATCACTTGGTCCATTCAAATGGAAAATAGTAAAAAGGAGGCTTTGCAAACCATGATCTATTCAAAGCTCAAAAGAAAAGAAGTTTGGGATTTAAAGTTCATTTTAGAAAAGAAGACTACTTGAATTTGTAGCAATTATCATTAAATTCAAAAGACTTCAAACCATGCTTCAAACTTCATTATATCATCATTCCATCAATACCACGTCAAGATCAAAGAAAAGGAATTTAATATGAAAGAAAGAGAACACTTTGACTAGTAAAGTTTATTGTTGAATCTTCAAAATGTTACATGGCCATCTATATCATGAAACATTACAAAGAGGAATTTCAAGTTCATGTACCACATTCCACTTCATTACCATCATAAATTCAACTTACATCAAGAGTTACAAAAGAAATATATAAAACTTCATCCTAATGTCTAAACTTCATGCTTGAACCAATCTCCAATTCCCTGCATGCCATGACTGAACCTTGTTGTCTTCAATCCATGCTCCTCTGCTCATTTAATATGCATCATTAGTCCAAACCAAAACTGAACATATGCATCCTTGTAAAACAGATTAGCCAACAACATAATAAACCAGTTTAAATATAAAATCCAGTTCAGAAAAGTTATCCACTAAATCAGTTGGCCAAATAGATCAAAAGATTTTAAATTCGTCAGTGCAACATCACTCAAATGATATTATTGAATATATTAATCATAAAAATAATAATGCTTACGGTACAGTTAAATGGTGTGGTTTTGTCATGGAAGACAAGGATATGGGTGCAGGCAACTCTATAGTTTTTCCATCTAAAAATAAAGAAGAAAGCAAGAATATTGTCAAAACTTTACCTGCTAGTGAAGATCAAGAGATTTTACATCCATCAACATAACATCATTCAAATGGATGACATTGCTCCGAGTAGAATCAAAGATTATATTTCCAAGTCCATAGAAAAATGTACTCTGATTGCAGATAATTCCAACACAAATCTTGAGAAGGTCCAAATTTTCACAGATTCGAAGGGGAAAATGGTTGTAACGGATGTGTGTCTTAGAGTGGATGCAGTTGAGGCATTCCTTGAACAATTGGTTGATCTGATGTTGTAGGAAAAACCATCTACTGGTGATGATCCACCATTATCTGAACAGTAGAGAGTTGCAAAACAGGTGCACTCAGTTGTGTTACTGTACAACTATTACCACAGAAAATAGCATCCAGAGCAAGCATTTGTGGCATTTGAGGAATGTTGAAAATTGGTTATGGATCTGAGCCCAACTTTGTTAACATGTATAAAATTCACTCAGAAGCCTAATCAAACTGACCTTGTTGATGTGGAACAACAACTGTCAATAACAAGAAAAGACTGATAAGTAGAGGAGATTGAAACTCAGAATGATCAGAAACCATTAATTCAATGACATAATTTTCCAGCTTGTATACCCCTAACTGATTCTTAAACAAAACAAAAAAAAACTAATCCCTAACAAATCCCCAACTAACTTTCTCAATCCTAACTAACAACTAAAAAAATTTCTAACATAATCACTAACTTAAAACTAACTCCTAACCGAATCAATCTAAGCTCTTCATCTCTTAACCAATTATGACAATCTAATGGCCTAGGTTAATTGAGTTGTAACTGAATTCACAGATCAATTCCTATAACAGATGGAGAGTTCATAGAGAAAGGGGGATTTTCATTTTTCACGATCAAAAGAAAATCACAAATTACTCACCTTCATCAATCATTTTGTAGAAGAATCACTATAAAACACTCTCATCTCACTCCTCTTCATCCTTTACCCTTTTCTCTTCAACAGACCTTTATCTCTCAAGAACTTCTCTGGATTCATATTCATCTCCTTCAACTATCATCCTACGAAAACCTCTTATTTTCTGCATCTCTGAAACATCCTCACTGCTTCAATCATCTTCATGCTCAATCCGCATCGTCTATACTTCTGCATGCAATAATCTCATGTAAAAACAATAGTTTACAATAACGCACGAATAAGAAGAGGATTTGACAAGTCGAAAGAGAAGAACATATCACAAAAGCAAAACAGCGGGTACCTGATTCGAAGTTAACGAAGCACCAGACATTCCTTCTGGTAGGTAATTCCTATTGATTTTGATTTTTTCAATTTCGTGCGTCTGTTGAAATCTTGAGGTTAAACTGAGAGGTGAGAAATTGAGAGCACAGGGCAGAGATTCAATGAGGGAGCAATGATAGTGATGCATTGAAATGGAAAAAATTGTGTAGTGCGATGTCATTGGCTTGTTGAGAAATAACAACTAAGCTGAGAGCGGCACGGTAGTGTTGTTGTTTAATGGAGGATATTGAGTGGATAAGAGATCTAAACAACGGAGATGGTGGCTTTCACTGGAGATTTGAATCGGAGAAGAAGAGTCTAGTAGTGTCGCAGCGGAAGGAAGTAAAGGTAGATTCAGACTTGAAGATGGATTTCAGTCAGGATTGGCATTTAGAAACGCTTGATTCAAGAAGGCTTGGCCGCTAGATGACTGGTGGATACACGACGGCGATGCACGAAGAAGATGACGAGCAGCCGTCGCGAGCTGCAAGTGAGAGGGAAGAGTTGTGGTTTTCACAGAGAAGTTGAAAAGGCCATTTTATAGCCCTAATTTATTTTCAATTTTTTTATTGTCGTTTTTTTTAATTCCTTTTTTTTACTTATGTTTGTATGGTAAACAACTGGTTTGGTCAATTAGAAGAGAATGGGGATTGGTTTTGGTTGGACTAAGCTGGGAGTCCATTGGGCCGAACCACCTGTTTAGCCCATTGTTTCATTTGTTTTTACTTACAAAAAAAACTGGTTATAGACTACCTCTTGTTGGACTCAGCTTTGGGCCTTAGCGCCTGAAGCCTTTTACTGAACTCATACTCCGTGTTTCAAGTGTACACCTCCCTGACTTTTCTAATTTCTTTTATTTAGTTTAAATTTCTTCCGATTTTATTAATAAAAATAGTGATAAAATATATATATATATATATATATATATATATATATATATATATATATATATATATATATATATATATATATATATATATATATATATATATATATATACATATGATAAAAACAATAAAAATTTGTAGAATTTAGATAGTCTTTTATGATAATAAACAACAAAATCAATAAAAACTTTTTTAGACTTTTTTTTATTCGATGTTTAGGAAATTAATTTCTAATTCTTTCCGATTACTTGAGACTTGTGATTCACCTTTACATGTTGAGTTGAGTCTTATGCAGGTTCATTATTGGATATGCGGACATGCCTGAGTTTCCGATTGTGATTTATTTTCACATCGATGAAGCTTCGACATCTATTCTGAATATTCGATCTCTGACTGTTTGTTTGTTGATACCAGCTCGCGCGAAGTATTCTGGGTTTCCTTTCTTTGGTTGCGCTTTTTGCGGACATTATTGTTCGTTTGGTATTATATTGCTTCCAAGTTATATTCGAATTCTTATTGCTTTCTAGATATCATGAGAAGTAGGGAATAAAGATCGTGCGCCCGAAGTCGCTTTTTAAAGACCTGTAGCAGGCATTCCGCACTTTATTTGTTATATGTGTCATGCTTATGTTTATTTCCTTTCTTGTTGATCAATGAGTCACTCAATTTAGAAATTGAGATCACGACTTCACTCTCAGTTCATGCTTTCTATAGGATTTTATAGCTTTCCTTTATTTCTTGTTTATCGATGAGTCACTCAATTTAGAAATTGAGATCATGACTTCCCTCTCATTGTATGTTCCCCATAAGATAGTTTTGTTAGGCTTTTTTTTGGCATGCTAACTTAGATAGGATCACTCAATGTATGATAACATTAGGTTAGAGATAGGTTAGTCTCCCTTTAGACTTTTATTTATTCATTTGCATAATTGCATTTAAAACTAAAACTTATTTTTTCTTGGCAAATGTATAAAAAATGCTAAGCATACAAAAATTCTTTTCATGGTAAAAAATACCAACTAATCCATTTTTTTCGCCATTCGGCTTTTCTCTTCTAAGAGCATGTTAGTTCCTTTCCACTACAGGTTGTAAGTCTCCAAAGGTCGAGCAGTGGTGGAATGATCAAATTCAACATTGTTCATTTAAAAAATACAAACAAACAAAATATGTGAGCCGAACTACGGCACTCTGATTCCTTAAAAGGGATACGTAAGCATCTAGTCACGGGGCTCAACCGAGTGAAAATTTGTAAATATTTCCTTCTTCTCCCTGTTTTTTCTTTGCATACATTCCCTCATAGTTTATAACTCTTAAGCATTAGATTGAACACACCCTTTCATTATAATAACAAGAGTGGATCTCGTAGAGTACTACGGACGTGTGGGGTGCTGATACCTTCCCCTTGTGTAATTGACTCACTTACCCAATCTCTCGGTCACAAGACCCTGATTTCCCCTTTAGGTTTATCTTTGATGATTTTCCTTTCCCTTTTGTGGGATAAATAAATACTCGGTGGCGACTTCATTGATTTTACCGCTACACCAGCCATAAGTTATGATGTCAACCCTTTATTCCAAGCCATAAGTGTTGATGTCAAACCTTTGTTCCCAACCATAAGTGCTGATGTCAAACCTTTATTCCCAGTCATAAGTGCTAATCTTAACCCTTTGTTCCTGGCCATAAGTGTTGATGTCAACCCTAAGTTCTCATTCATAAGTGCTAATGTCAACCTTTGTTCCTAGCCATAAGTGGTGACGTCAAACTTTGTTCCAAGCCATAAGTGCTGATGTCAAACCTTTTTTTCCCAACCATAAGTGTTGGTCAAACCTTTGATCCCATCCATAAGTGTTGATGTCAAACCTTTATTCCCAACCATAAGTGTTGATGTTAACCCTTTGTTCCCAGCTATAACTGTTGATGTCAACCTTTATTCCCAGCCATAAGTGTTGATGTCAACCCTTTGTTTCCATCCATAAATGTTGATGTCAACCTTTGTTCCTAGCCATAAGTGTTGATGTCAACCTTTGTTCCCAGGCATAAGTGTTGATGTGAAACCTTTGTTCCCAGCCATAAGTGTTGATGTCAACCATTTGTTCCCAGCCATAAATGCTGATGTCAATCAATTGTTTCCAGTCATAAGTAATGATGACGATCCTTTGTTACCCACTTCAATATTGATGTTTACCATCATCTCTGAGCTGGTATTATCTTGTTGTTTCTACTTTCATCCTCCGGGTTGGTAGTTTACGATCCCCTGGGAGTCGACGTTACTCTCTTTTTGCTATCTCCTATATGATTGGGTAGTTTACAGTTATCTATCGGTCATCGTTACCCATTTCTTTTTCCTTATTTGTTAAGTTGATGATACTTTGTCACCTCTTTAGGCTTTACCCCAGTAGAGTTGAGTATTTTTTTCCCAATGGAGTTTATTTTCCTCCAGTGGAGTTGAGTTTCTTTCCTCCAGTCAAGCCGATAATACTTTCTTAATGGTTACCTCCTCGATAGTTTGTTGCTCGCATTGTTAAGAGTTTCCATTTTTGAAATCTTACTACAAATTTGGTTTCTTTAATCATTATTTTCAATTTACCTGTTCATAGCCATCCCTATAGTCGTGTTGTTACCCAGAGATTTATTTTCCTGATTGAACTCTCTTCATTAGGCTACTTGTTTTATTTTTGCCTCCCCAATGGTGTTATGTGTCACCTATGGAGTTGGTCGTTTGCATTCATAATCATAAGCATTGCATGGTATCTTAGGGCAAAAAATAGGGTTTGTTTTGTATTTAAGTATCTTCAATCGTGTCGAGACGAGGATTTTAACCTTCGTATCTCCGAATAGAAGACACTTAAATAAGGGCAGCTGTTATACCATAATTTGTGCCCTTAAGATCTCTCATAATCCCATATTATCAATACAACAAGATCACATATTAAGCTTGGTTCTTCCTTCTATTTGATCCTATCTTTAAGTTTGCTCTTGGGGGATCACCAAGCACCATGAACTGTGTATCTTGTACATGTTTTTTTAGGTGGATTAGTTTTTAACTAACATCAAAATATGCATATGTTTCTTTGGATGTTAATTTTATAGGTGATGACACAACTGCATCCATCTCACTATCTAACCTAGGGTTTTAAGGGATAGTCCTTATTCGAATGGTTCTTCAATGGATTGTATAATACGGTGGGAGAACTGGCTTTTGGTTTTGCATTTTATCGCAAATGTTATGGATAACAATAGCCACCACCAACTTTTATTTTATCCAATAAAGAAAAGGTTGAAAAGAACATGAAAGACCTTCGAGAATTTTGAGTTTGGGGGGTAGGTGATGAAAAGGGAAGGTGTTAGCACCCTTTTCATCTATAGTTATCTACGGGCTCTTAATCACTAGCTCACTTTGAAAATGCTTTGTGTGTTTGAAAATATTTTGTGAAATGCCTAAGTGTATCAATTTTGTAATGATTCTCGTATCGTTGAGAATGTGTACATAATGTTTGTTTTGAAAATATTTGTTGAAAAAGTGTTATTGTGTGAAAAATGTTTTGCGTGAGCAAGTGATTACGAGCTATCTACCCACTCAAAAGTCTTTCACGTTATTTTATTCTTTCTTTGGATAGTTCTATCCTACCGTTAGTTAGTTGGAATCCCTATAATTGGATACGATGGGACAGGTGTCAGTCATCATAGTCATAAAGGAAACTTGTAGGGTGCTTTAGAAATTTTATCGTAAGGGACTGAGATCGTTTACCAAAGGTAGCATCGAAGGGTCATCGAGGGACTACGATCTTTTTAACCAAGGGTCCTTGCTAAAGAGTCCCACATTTGAGGGACATGATTGTGTTTGTTTTTTTCCGAGGCAACAAGTGGAAGCACCCTAGAGGTGCATGTGTGAATTGTGTTTCAGTTCAGTTCATTTATCTTGCATATTAGGGTTAGCTATGGTTGCTTTTTAGATCTTGCCTTACACACCTAGTTACTATGCAGTAATAAGGAAAGCAGTAAAGGAAGAAAATATATTTCCTACGCTATTACAAAGCTTTGGGAAAGAAGTACAAACCATAAAAAATTAGGGGAAAGAAAGCAATAAGAAACCTAATTTATGCTATTACATTCCTCTAGCAGTTACATAATTGGGAAAATAAACTAATGCAAGAAATAATAAAACACGCGAAGATTATAAAAAGAAAAGAAACAGAAAAAATGGTTTTTGTGATCGTCCTTTTGATGAAAATGATGATTAATCGGACCTATTTGATTTTAGTTTAGAAAAGAAATTGATTATTAAAAAAAATATTTAATAATAAAAACCCTTAAGAAACTAAGTTAATTATTTCAATTAATTTAAATAAAAAAATTAATTAATTAATTTAATTTAAAAAGTTAAGTTAATTTTATTTTAATTAATTAGAGAAAAAAAGGTTAATTATGTTAAAAAGAAATTAAAACAAAGTAATTAAAAAAAGGAAAAGATGGGCTTGGAGAAGTAAATTTAGGGGGGGGGGGGGGGGGGAGGGGTGTGAGAAACAAGAATCACTAGGCCCAAACCATGAGCCCATGCGCCCGTGACAATCTAACGTGGCTAGCTCCAAGGGACTCATGGTGTAAATGCGATATCTGGGACGCTGGATCTTGTCTTGTGAT